TGCAGCCATCTTCTTTTTTAAAAAAAAATCATTTTATTAGGGCCACATACAACTCTTATCATAATCCATACATACATCAATTGTGTAAAGCATATTTGTACATTCATTGCCCTCATCATTCTCAAAACACTTGCTCTCCAATTAAGCCCCTGGCATCAGCTCCTCATTGCCCCCCTCCCCCCTCTCCCCTCCCTCATAATTTACAAATTATTATTTTGTCATATCTTACACTGTCTGATATCTCCCTTCACCCACTTTTCTGTTGTCCGTCCCCCAGGGAGGAGGTGATCCTTGTAATCCATTCCCCCTTTCCACCCCAGTCTCCATCCACCCTCTTGGTATCACCACTCTCACCACTGGTCCTGAAGGGATCATCTGTCCTGGATTCCCTGTGTTCCCACTGTACATCTTCTGGTCTAGCAAGATTTGTAAGGTAGAACTGGTATCATGATAGTTGGTGGGGGAGGAAGCATTTAGGAACTACAGGAAAGTTGTATGTTTCATTGTTGCTACACTGCACCCTGACTGGCAGCCATCTTCTAAAGGCAGAACTTTATTACCAATTTCTCACTGCTTTAGTGGAGTGGAGGCAACCTTTTTTTTTTTTCCCCTTTTCTCCTGTGGCTTTTTTTAGGTAAGGCTTTTAGTGTGAAGCTTAAATGCTGCCAATTCTTTAGAGCATGTTTAAATGAAGCTACAGCTATATCATAGGTTTTGATCCATGCTGTATCATCCCAAATGTCAGAATCATAACTCTGACTTATGCCAGACTGGATGGAACTGCACCTGTCTTACCACTTGGGGATGCCTTTGCTACCACTTATTGCTATAGGCCATCTTTATGTGTATTTTATTGGCCACACAAAGGTATTCAGTTGTGTGGCTCATAACAAATTATGTTAAGATTGTGAATAGGAATTTGACTACACTTACACTTACTGGTGCTTGTGCAGAACCCATACATAGATTGAGGCAGTCATTTGAACAGAACTAAGGGGAAATCATATAAATCTAATGTGCATTAGAATTATATTCTTTCACCATACTTATTAATCTAAATACTGAGCAAATAATCTAAGAAGCTGGGCTATTTGAAGAGAAATCACAGAATCAGGATTGGAGAAAGGCTCATTAACAATTAAAGATAGGTAGATGACACAGACTTGCTTGCCGAAAGCCAGGACTTGAAGCATTTACTGATGAAGATAGTGTGGATTATACCTCAAATGGACAGAAAAGAAGAATCCCCACAAATGGCCAATAAGCAGAGTCATGACAGAGCATTAAAGTTGTCAAGGATTTAATTTTACATGGATCTATAATCAGTATCCTTGGAAGCAGCAGTCAAGAAATCAAATAATGTGTTGCACCAGGCAAATTTGCTGCAAAAGACCTCTTTAAATTATTAAAAGCAAAGAAGTTACTTTGAGGAGTAAGTGGTGTGTGATCTAAGCCCTAATATTTTTAGTCCCCTCATATGTATAGAAAGGTGGATAATGAGTAAGGAAGACCATAGAAGAATCAATATCTTTGAATTATGATGTTGCTGATGAATATCAAATATATTACTGCCTCGAATAGCATCTGTCTTGGAAGAAGATAGCCAAAATGCTCCTTAAGATGGAGATGGGGAGACTGCATCTCACATATTTGGACATGTTTTCAGAAAGGACCAGTCCTTGGAAAGGACATTGTACTTGAAAGAGTCAGCAACAAGAGAGGAGGACTCGATAAAATGGATGGCCACAGTGGCTACAACAAGGGCTTCAACAGGAATGGTTGGCGCAGAACCAAGCAAGTGGTTCCTCCTTCTATTGCACGTAGCATTGCTGTGAACCAGAAGTCACGCAGCAGCACCCAACAACACAGTAAAATAAATTTCTTAAAATTATCTTGCTGTACACATAAGTTTATATTGATTTTGTTTTTGAAGTAAACTAGTTTTACATGTCTTTTTTTAATCTGCTTTTAAAACTCTTGTTTGCAGTTTTGCTAGTGGCCAAGTAATGAAAATTAGCTTTCTTTAATAAGCTGCCACATTTTTGTGTTTTAATCAGATATTACTAGGTTAGGTGGTCATCCTATTCTGTTTACCATAAAGATAGAAAAATTCTAGGGATTACAGAACATTAGACATCTGTGTTAACCAAATGTGCAGTTTTTGGGTTGACTTTCTTTGTAAACAGTAACGCACATTTCCGCATGAGAGGCCCTTTCTCCTCTAATTGTGGCTGAGTATATACTAACATTTGAAGTCACAGTCAAGTGAAATTTAATTTCAGTAGGTGAATTCAGATTCTAATGGCTGCAGTTCTCCCCCTTGGAAGTACCCATTTAGTGGTTGCCTTGATGAATTTACTTGAAGGAAAACACACTACCATTAAGCATTAAGGTTGTAGGTTATCAGGCAGTTTTGAATGAACAAGGAGCAAAACGGCTCAGCTTTTGAATGAAGATAACAAGCATTGAAGACAGTTCCAAATTGTAGTTCAAGACATTAGGAAGAGAAACCCTATGTGATAAAATGGCATCATTGTTTCTACTGTTTTCCTGGATCCTTAGAATGTTTCATTTGATGCTGTTCTCTGCGCTGACTGGTGTGTAGGCCACTATGTGTTTCATTCAGCGAGGCTCAGACCACATGTGACAAACACGGCTGAGGTTTCTTGAATTAATTGCTATCCACTTTCTAATTGCTATCTTCTATCTTGCCTTTGGCCTTCTAGAAATAAGAAAAGGACAAAATGACGTCAAATCCTGGTTAGAGTAGCTGTGCAAGTTTGTTTTTTTTATGTTAGGCCCTTTTTTTAATAGGAAGGACAATGACAAGCTTTTTTATTTCCTGACCTTAAATGAATCTTCTTGGTATTGGTAGTCCTTTCTTCACAAGTTAGGGAGACCTTTCATTCACTGTTGAAGAATGAGACTGAAAGCAGAAAGGAGCAGCAGCCTGTATACATCAGCGGTTGAAATCTGTTCTCTCAAGCTTGACACCTTTTATTCTACATCCCACATTTCTTGTGTCTGTCCTTTTGTTTCTATTATGTTTCAAAATAACAACGTTTGCAGGAAAGTGTTTGACTCTGTATTAACTGCGAGTCAATGCCAACTCATAGCAACCATAGAACAGGGTAGAACTGCTCATGTGAGTTTCCGAGACTGTTCACAGAAGTAGAAAGCCCGTCTTTCTCCCACAGCGGCTTGTGGTTTCTAACTGCAGACCTTGCAGTGAGCAGCCCGACATGGAACCACTGTGCCACCTGGGCTCTTTCATAACCCTTAAGACCCTCAAATAGAGATGTACGAACATTACACCTTTGTATCATGAAAATAAAAAAGTTAAACCTCATTCTAGCTAAATAAGGGTGAAAAAGAGCTTAGCCTATTGCATGACTTCTGACATTATGGTTAGCTGGGAATTATTCATCAATTTTATTGTGTTTATAGAAAATATTGTGTGACTTCACATAAAGAAATTAATATGAGATATCAGAGTAATATTAATAGTTTCCTGTCTGTTTTCTTACACACTATTGTTTTGTAGTTTCAGTGAACATGAATCATGCATCTTTACTCCCCCTAGAGGAAAATATTATATTTCTTCAGTCTGTGGAATCTTTTCTTTACCATATTTTAATCACCATTTGCCCTGAAAAGAATAATTGTAGCTGTAGTAGATTCTTCTATGTATTGTTAAAAGATACTTTTAAGTATAAGGTTAAAATTTGAATAATAGAATGTCAAAGATATATTGTTTATTTTGATAGATTGCTTTTAGTGCCAAATCTAGCATTTTATATAAAAGGTATTTCAACCAAAAAATTTTTATCAGAACTATTTTATTACAAGCAAATACATTCCATTCTGAATCTAATCTTTTAGTGCTACTTCTCTGAATGTCTGCTAATCTAAAAGTGGGTGTTTTGTTCATTTTTAAGCCGACCTGGACATCCTATTTTGAAGTTCTGTTCTTCTAATAATAGAAGTAAAAAGAAGAAAATCCAAATTTAAGCAACCAACCCTTTGCAATAAAGCTTTCATTTGTAATTTTTGCTTTTTATATTGTTTGAAACATTGAATGACAGTTTTATTTCCTTGGGGAAGGACTTATAAACTTAAGTGCTGCAGTTGACAATATTTGCTATATGTGGGAAAAGAGAAAAGCTATTTTTCAAGAAATGCTAAATTAAAACATCAGTAATATTTCATTGTAATATTGTAGTATAAAATGTTAAGGGTAGGTATGTGAAATAAAGTCTCTTAGGATGAGATTATATCATTATCTTTTCTCTGGAAGAGGTTCAAATCTTAGCTGTCATATTTTGTATTGAATAATATTAAGTTGGAAAATCGCTAATATGAACAATTTGATAGTTCTGATCCTTTTTTTTTTAACATTTTATTAGGGGCTCATACAACTGTTATCGCAATCCATACACACATCAATTGTGTAAAGCACATTTGTACATCATTCTCAAAACATTTTCTCTCCACTTAAACCCCCGGCATTAGGTCCTCATTTTTCCCCTCCCTTCCCGCTCCCCCCTCCCTCATGAGCCCTTGATAGTTTATAAATGGGTATTTTGTCATATCTTGCCCTGTCCGACGTCTCCCTTCACCCGCTTTTCAGCTCTGATCTTTTAATACTGTACTAGTAGCTGCTATAGACAGATTGGCAGCTATCCCTTTGGCTGTCATGTTTGAGTATATTTCCATTAAGTTAGCTGTTATAGAAAATTCCTATGTAATTCTTATTTCATCTGTTCACTATACCAACTAGTTTTAATAGATCACTTAAATGTCATTAAAATTATGTGTATAGATAGAAATATGTGAAGATTTCTGTTTTATTTATGAAATATAATCCACCAATTTCTGTATTTTAATGTAGTTGAAATTGTGCCTGTGCATGAGTGTATACATAGAAAGAAAATTTTATAAACACATATACTAATAAAATGTGATGAGCGCATTAATCAATTTCTGTTTATTTTTCATAGAGTCATGTGCCCTGGCTCCATAGTTCCCACCCAGGTTTAGAAAAAATAAGTGCTATAGTATGGGAAGGCAATGACTGTAAGAAAGCGGATATGTCTGTACTTGAAATCAGTGGAATGATAATGAACAGAGTAAGTATTTAAATTTTATTATTTTAGTTCAAATGTAAGAGTTAGTAATTATGAATATTTTAATTATTTACTGACATTTATAACCTACTCACCTAATTTCTTCAAATTAAAAAAATTTATTTGGTTGTGCTTGGCTAAGTATGTAATGTAATTGTAATGTGTCACAAGACCATTCTTATCTTCTATTTCTATTCCTGTGATCAGGAATAGAAGATACTATCTAAAAGCTTGCTGTTTTACGTTACTTTTTCTTTTGCTTTCAGTGTATCACATTGAAGAAATGCTATATGTAAACAGTGGTGATGCATATTATTACTGTGTTTCATTATTATAAAACTCAAAAACACCCTTTGTCATCAAATTGAGTATTATTTAGAGTTTCTGAGGCTGTAACTCTTTGCAGGAGCCAGGTAGCTTCAGCTTTCTCCTACTGAATGGCTGGTGGGTTTAAACCTCTAACTTGCTGTTAGAAGCCCTCATTATTCTTACAGGTTCATTAATTTATTAGTACCCAAAACAAAAAAGAATAAAAAAATCACGCTAGGAAATTTGTACTCACTATGAAAACATAATGCTTAATAGAAATTCATTTTACTATAGAAAAAGTTTACTAATTTTCTCTTGTTTCATCTCTCTCTCTCTTTGCAAAGGTCAACAATCATATACCAGGAATAGGATACCAGATCTTTGGGAATGCAATCTCTCTGATCCTGGGTTTAACCCCATTTGTTTTCCGAGTCTCCCAAGCTACAGATCTGGAACAGCTCACAGCACACTCTGCTTCTGAACTTTACATGATCGCGTTTGGTTCTAATGAAGATATCACAGTTCTTTCTATGGTTATAATAAGTTTTGTGGTTCGTGTCTCCCTTGTTTGGATTTTCTTTTTTTTGCTATGTGTCGCAGAAAGAACTTATAAACAGGTGGGTATAGTAATATTCTGAGTAAAGATTTATCCTTTTCATAATTTTCAAAGTATTTATGAAATATCTTAGTATTTTGCTAATTTTACCTAGGCGTTTTCTAGGTTTGTTTTCGAGTTGCTTAACTAAATTTAATTTCAACAATCCTTATCGTGTTGTTTTAGTTGTTCTTCAGTAATCTACTTAAAAATTAATCACCATCTCAATCTTTTTTTAGCGATTGCTTTTTGCAAAACTCTTTGGACATTTAACATCTGCAAGGAGGGCTCGAAAATCCGAGGTTCCTCATTTCCGGTTGAAGAAAGTACAGAACATTAAAATGTGGCTCTCTCTCCGTTCCTATCTTAAGGTAGAATGGCAGTGATAAAAGTTCTCTTCCATACTGGCAACCCGTTCTTGGTCAATATAGAGATGGATGCTCAGGTGTATCATCAGGGTTCTGAGTGTTCTTTTCGCTCTATATCCAGAAATCCAAACTGATGTTTAATTGATGATTCAAGGTCAGATTGCTTTAAATATATCTTTGTTCCTAAATCTCACCAACTTCTTACTCATTCAAAAGATTGATTAGGGATTTTGGTTCTTCTTAGAATGGTCATCACATACCAGCAGAGGGAGCCCCCTACTTAGAAAAGTTTTGTAGTCTGTCAGTCCGTAACCAGGGGCCTGGTCTATTTAAAAATACATATGTATTTTTTATGCCGTTCTTTTTCTCTGAATCTTTTTATAGTCTTTCTAATTACGGAAGTAAAATATTTAAGTTCAGCAAGGGGCATGAGGGAATCTTTCTTTGTTGCATTAAGTAGCAATGGAAGTATTTTTTTTTAATTTGTACTATTTATGTACCCTTATGTTTTAAATTTTATTCTTTTTAAAAATTATTCTTTTATTTATTAATTTGACATTTAAATAATTCACCCAGTCTCCATTTGGAAAAGATAGAGATGGATATAGATTTTTTCTTTTTCTTTTTCATTGTGAGGTGCAGGACTGCAAAAGCAGATACATGTCGTTTATCCTGGGTTGTGGGTTATAGTACAAATATTTTTAATTGCTAGAGGGGAGGGGGTGGGCACGGAGTACTTTTTTCCCCCATGAGAAGGGGGTGGCAGGTAAAATAAGTTTGGGAGCCATTGGTGTGGAGAGGTGAATATGCTTTTTTGCTGCTTGACTTAGTGAAATTCCATCCCCAGTTTTTACTCCTCAGCTCTCAGGTTATTGCATTCTCTCTTGCACTGGTTATTTTACTCAGCACCATTAATTTAATGTTAACTCTCCATGAGATACAAAGGGACAACCTCTTCCCTTAAGATTACAGTTCAGTTAGGGAAATAACCCCAGGCCTAAAAATAATCCAGCATGCTGGTAGTTTATCACCCACTCCTGACCTTTTTGCTTCTAAAATTGACCTTGAATGCACTACTTCTCTTTGTTTCCTTGCTCACCACCCCCATTAAAGCCATCTTGCTTAGGTTCCTACAGTTGGCTCTAAACTGGCCTTTCAGCATTCATATTTCCTCCTCTTAATAAATTCTTTAATCTGCCACCAATATGATACTTTTACAATGCAGATTTGAGCATATAATTTCAGAAACTATTTGAAGATTTTCCATTGCCCTCAGAATAAAAATCAAAATCTTAACAGAGTTTATAAAACCCTTCGTGATCTAATTCTTTTTGCCTTCTCTCTCTCTCTCTCTGTCTCTCTCCTCAGTGTGGGATGATCCCTCCCTGCCACCCTGGACTACTTCAGTTCCTTGAATGCATTATATTCCTTCTCTTTGCTGGCGCTCATCCTTTTCTTTTGATCTGGAGTGCCCACATGTGCCATTATGCACCCAACTCCTACTAACCCCCCCCACCCCCCAAAAAACCCCCCCCACAAAAAAACAAAATCTACTCCTGTGCAGTTGATTCCGACTTTTAGTGGCCCAGTGGTTTCTGAAGCTATCAGTCTTTACAGGAGCAGACAACCTTAATTTTCTGGGTCGGAGCAGCCAGAGGGTTTGCCCCACCAACCTTGTGGTACACAGTTTAGCACTTAAAGCAGCAGCACCACCAGGGGTCCTCCTTCAATGCATCAGTTTGTTATAAATATCACCTCCACAGGGAGAACTTCCTGGACTCACACTCCTGACCCCTACATCTAAGTCAGGTCTCTCGGGACAGTTATCTCAAAGCATCCTATCCCTTTGCTTGTTGGCACTCATCACAGCTTTTCATTCTTCTGTGATTGTGACCTTGATTCTGTCTCCCCTACTATTTCCGTGAGGCAGGGGCTAGGTCTGCTATGTTCTCTGCTCTGTTTCTAGCATCTAGCACAGTGCCTAGTTCTCAGCCAGTGCACAAAAAATATTTGTTGAATTAATGATTTGTGGTTGAAAATAGGAGCTATTTGAAGATATGCTAAGAATTCCAGGCTGTATAGACATTCATTTCCCTGTGTTGCAAATCCTTAGAAAATGTTAACACTATGTAATTAAAGTTCACCTGGCAAATTGGATGTATTTTCTGCTTGTAACTGGCCAACTCTTGGTGAGAAGTAGCTGTCCATCAGTACATGTAGTAGTTGTAACTGTTCCTCTTTGCAGCGCCGAGGCCCTCAGCGATCTGTTGATGTAATCGTCTCATCTGCTTTCCTCTTGACCATCTCAGCTGTGTTTATCTGTTGTGCTCAGGTGAGTGCAACACGGTGAGCTGATACACTCAAACATGTAAACATTACGTAGTGCTCCAGAAGGCTTTCTGACAACTGCCTATCAAAGTAATAATATAAGTAAGCCAAACAAAAGTGTGATATTTGTATTTGTGGTGTATTTTATTTCACTAGACTAAGTAAATCTGATTTTCATCTCTCTACCATGAACAGTGGCTAGCATATGATGAAATATTTCCTGAATTCACATATTAATTATGTTTGTGCATAACCCATCAAACTTTCTTTATCTTTCATATCAGACTTTTGAGAGCTTATTGTTACAGCATTGTTACAGACTATTTTCCATGAATCTCTGAATTGTCACTATGACTTGACTGATATTTTTGACACATGTTATGAAAAGAATTTTTGGTAACCAAGATTAGTCTGAAAACACTAAAGGATCTTAGGATATGTAATGTGCTATAAAATACAGTGCAGAATTCCATTTTAACTAACATTTAAATAAACCAAAAATTCTGCTTTAAAACACCACCGCTTGAAGAAAGCATATTCTAACTCTGAAGACAGTTTATGAAACTTACCCACGTACTAAGTCACAAGCTAACCTATGTGTTAGCATACAGACCATTTACTCTACCTTTAATGCAGTCAAGGGAGAAAACAGTGACAATATTAACAGATAACATATTTGGACTTTTTCAAGTCTTTTATAAATAAACATTTAAAACCAAAAATAGAGTATTAAAAAGATTACTAGTATGAATTACTTTTTGCCATTAAACTGAAAGCTTAGATGAACAATTTTTTTAAAATACCTAATTGATTAAACTTTGAGTTCAAAAGAAAACCGGAGGAAACCTGTAACCGCAGTCACAGCACTTGGTTGGGTGTTTTACAAGCCTGTCTTCAATAAAGAGTCTCCCAGGGCCATGTGGCTTCAAGGTACATTCTGTCAGAACTGAATTGAATTCACAGTCCCAATCTTAAAAAGAAGAGAGTAGCGAGTAGAAGAGGGGAGAATCTCCAACTCCTTTTCTGAGGGTGATCATAATTGTGATAGAACACCAGAAAAATGGGAAACTTTTCCCTCATTTCACTTACTGCTTTAGATGTAAACTTTATCAACAAATATAGTACAATAAAGCGAGCAATGTAATGGGGATGAACGCACTATGACCAAGATAGTTTATCTCTGAAATGCAGAGATTCAGACGTTTTGATGGAAAGATGCACAGCAAAACACACTCATTCTGCAGTTGGAGACATAAGCCAGTGGCATTGGCTCTCTTCTGCACACTGTGTCCACAGGCTTGTTCCTTCTCTCTGGCTGTTTTGTCCCCATCACTTTCCAGCTCCCTGCCCGCCAAGCTTGTCACCTGTGCCCTGCAGTAGCCATTGACCTTAGCGACTGTACACTTTTTTAGGGGGCTTGATACTCCCTGGTGACAAGCTTTCTTTCTAGAGGTAAATTGTTGCTTTGTATAAAAGTGACTTCAGGAGATTGTTTTGATTCAAGGTTTGAAGAGTAACCCAGGGTCGTCGTCTTTAGGGCTCTTCCAGCCTTAATAGATCCAATAACTCTGGATTCTTTAAGAGTGTGAAGTTCTGTTCCACAGAATGCAGAGATTGTCGACTTTAGAAAATTAATTACCGTATGTACTCGTGTGTAATCCAAGTTTTCCAGCACATTTTTAATGCAGTTTTTGTGGTAAAATTAGGTGCCTTTGCTGATAATGCAGGTCGGCTTATACGCGAGTATATAAACGGTAATGTAATTTTAGGTTCTTTAGTGGGTTAAAGGAGGAGAAAAATCTGTAATCGTCTTAATAATACAAATTGGTAAAATTCAGTGGGAATTCATAAAATAAGAATAGAAAGTATGCCTTCAATCTGATAAAGGGGATCCTTGAAAACACGGAGTAAACTTTGTGCTTAGTGATGCTACCTTTGAGATAGGAGTTTGAAATCAGGATTAAGATGAAGGTAACTCCTCCTCTTACTTGTCGTCAGCATTGTGGTCGTGGTGGTGCGTGTGAGTTAGGTGCTGTCAGGTCAGTACTGACCCCTGGTGACCCTAAGCAGAATAGCACGAAACACTGCCCGGTCCTGTGCCATCCTTCCTCACAGTTGTTCCTATGCTTGATCCCATCGTTACAGCCAGTGTGTCAGTCCATCCTGTGGAGGGCCTTGCTGCCTTTCACTGCCTCTCTCCTTCACCAAGCACGATGCCCTTCTCCAGGAACTGGTCTCTACTGACAGCATGTCCCAAGGACATGACACGACATCTCGCCATTTTGCCTCCAAGGAGCACTCTGGCCATGCTTCTTCCAAGGCAGATGTGTTGGCCCTCTTGGCAGTCCATGGGACTTTCAGTCCTCTTCACCAGCACCACACTTGAAACCCATCCGTTCTTCCCCAGTCTTACTCAAAGTGTTTTGGTGGAAGATAGTAACCAACTCACTTGAAAGAGACAAATCTTACAATGATTGAAAGGAAAAAGAAACCATAGACTGGTTTTCTATATAGAACATCCAAGTGACTTTACAAACTATGAAAACTATTGCCAGCAGAGTTTCCGGATACAACCTTTTTTTAAAATCAGCTTCGTTCTTAGCAGCTAGAGATCAGCAGACTGTTAAAGGCCAGGTATTAAATATTTTATACTTTGCATGCCACATATAATTTCTAGTGTGTCTTCTTTTTAACAACCCTTAAAAAACTGTAAAAGTCATTCTTCGCTCCAAGGCTGAACAAAATAGACCTTAGGTAGATTTGGCCTATGGACCAGAATATGCTGATCTTTGTCATACACAGGAAAAATAATTAAAAACTGTAACAGATGACATTTTCAGTAAGAATAACAAAACAAAAGATGTGTAGGACTTTACAGGGAAATGTGAAGCACTGAAAATCATGATATTAATGGTTAGGAATATTCAATTTAATATCTCAATTCTCCCCAGGCTAATTTATAAATTCAGTGTGATTCTAACACATTGATAGAGTTTGTCAAGTTTTCTGAAAGTCATCTGGAAACACAGAGTCAAGAATAGCTCATATAATTTGGAAGGACCAGGACAAGTTGCCTTACCAGAAACATGAGGCCTTCGTTTAAGTTTTAGAAAGACACTGTGAATTCCTAAATAGAATTACTTTTGGGATGAAATACAGTCCTACAGATGTACGTGTGTGCACATTTGTGTGCGGGCACAAGTGAGGGCAAAGAGAGTTCTGATACTTTGCTGGGAGTAGAAATTGGTTCTCCGTTTTGGAGATAAATGTTAGTATTTAATAAAGTTGGTAAGTTTTGTGCTGCTAACCTCAAGGTTAGTGGTTCAAATCTGTCATCAGCTGCTCCACAGCAGGTGGTAAGGCTGTCCCCATAAAGATGCTGTTTTGAACACTGTAGGCTTGCTTTGGTGTTGACTCGATGGCAGTAAAGAGTTGAATTGCAATCAACAGGATGGCAGTGGGTTGATACAATTGAAGATGTGACTTTCCAAGGACCAGCAATATTACTTCTAGAAATGTTTGTTGCAGCATAGTCTTTCAGAGGAAAAACAGACAATATTAATTGGTAGGACAGGGCAGTAATTATAGTCAATTTGATCGATTCTATGATGCTAATTACCCAAAGGAGTTAAAAATGGATGTATCAATGGTAGTAAATCTTGGTGGTGGTGGAGGTTCAGTTGAATAAAAAGCAAATTGAAGAATGATGTGAGCAATGTTATAACATTTCTATAAAATGTTAAATATATGTATAAAATCTAGTTTAATGATGTAGCCAAACTATAAAATTCATGAAAAAAGGAACAGAATTTATTACACCTGGGGGTAGAAGGAAGCCAGGAAATGAGAAACAAGAAAAAATTTTAAAGTGCATTCAAGTGAATCTATAATACTTTATGTTAATCTGAAAGAAATGTTACAAAATATTAAGAGTCAACCAAATAATGCATCCTCACGGGTGTTGATTACATCTTACTTTTGATATGCTTAAAATAGTCATAGTAAATGGGACATGGTTTTTAAATGTAGTACATTGATGATCCATTTATATGAAGTAGAATGTTAATGTCTTTTAAAATGAAATTGTTTCAAATCATTGTTTTTTCACATTTCCTTTTTTTGTACACTAGCTGCTTCATGTGCATGAGATCTTCCTTGATTGTCACTACAATTGGGAGCTAGTAATTTGGTGCATCTCATTAACACTTTTTCTCCTAAGATTTGTTACCCTTGGATCAGAAACAAGTAAAAAATATAGCAATACCTCAATATTACTTACTGAGCAGGTAAGAATACGTGACTAACATGCCTGTAAATCCTTATGTTTTTATTTACTGCATATTTTTCAGGAGTATATTTTATTAGATTAAAGCCATTTGTGTTGTAAAGCAAAATTTGAAATTTGATAGACCTCAAGCCATTCTTTTTATGTCCCATTTCCATTTGGCAGGAAGGAAGTACCATTTACAGCAATCAGGGAGTTTTAAACCGTGATAGATATGTTTGCTTTTCAGTATAGCAAAGACAGTTGAATAAATAGGAATTTTTATTTTAAAAACAATGCTTTTGATGATTATCTCTAATTCACATGAATTTGTGCAGTATTTTCTTCTCACAGTTTCTATAGGGGTTATACAAAGAAACTGCAGAGAAGATGTAGATACTTTAATCTGGGATTGTGTGATTCCAAACTGCCTCTGGTTGTGTAGTAGATTAGCACTCAGCTGCTAAGTGACAGCTTCTCAGTTTACATCCACCCAGTGACTGTGGAAAGGCTTGGCGGTAAGGATGGCAGCCAAGAAAACCTGACCAGGGGCAGTTCCCGGTCACATTGGGGCTCCTGTGAGTCCGAATTGAGTCTATAGCACTTACTGACCAATTGAGACAAGGAACAGGTGATTTGGTCAAATGAACTCAATTAACGGGGAAGGGAAGAGTGGCCAGGAAAGAAAGATTTCAAGGAAATGTAACTGGACCTCAAGGCGATTAGACAAAGGCAGCCACTTCCTCCAGCATGCTCTGAGTTATATGGCTTCTCATTTCTGCACCTTTGTTCCAGTCGCCTGTGTACTTGCTACTCTAAATTTGGGTTCAAACTTGGTTTTGACTTGCCTCTGCCCAAATAGTCTAGACTTTCCTGCCTTAACCAGTGCATGTACCGCTCGTCCCTGGCAAAGAGGGTGGTGGTCTCTATCCAATACACTGGCCATGTTCGTTTGTGGACGCTCCCAACCAGAGTGAGGGCAGGATGGTAGGACAGCGTGCAAAAAGCACAGCTGCCCAGGTCTGCCCTTCCACAGACCCTGGGGCGGAGCATTTGTCAAAGAAGGTAGCTTCTGAACCAGCCAGGCACCGCTAAGTTTTCTATTACAGGTGGATAAAGATACACAAAGGTTTTGAATCTAATCTGGAGTTACTTTTAAAATAAGAAATTAGAAATCAACTGATTTCATTACAGTCTGGTTATTATTGATTATTTAAATGGATTGCACTCTGGGACTAACGCATCATTAAGTAACGCCACTCAGCTTCTTTTATTGTCTTGGCTTTTAATTACATTTGAAAGTTGTGTTTTTTTTAATCATTTTATGAGGGGCTCATACAACTCTTACCACAATCCGTCCATCCATCCATTGTGTCCAGCACATTTGCACACTTGTTGCTGTCATCATTCTCAAACATTTGCTTTCTGCTTGAGCTCTTGGTATCAGCGCTTCATTTTTCTCTCTCTCTCCCCACTACCCCCTCCCTCATGAACCCTTGATAATTTACAAATTATTATTATTTTGTCATATCTTACACTGCCCTCTGTCTCCCTTTACCCACTTTTCTGTTGTCCATCCCCTAGGGAGGAGGTTATATGTAGATCCTTGTAATTGGTTCCCGCTTTCCACCCTCCCCTCCCTCCACCCTCCTGGTATCGCCACTCTCAGCACTGGTCCTGAGGGGATCATCTGTCCTGGATTCCCTGTGTTGAAAGTTGTTTTAATAGCTCATCTTTTAAAATTTTGTTTCAATTTAAAGATCATTTTATTGGGGGCTCTTACAGCTCTTAGAACAATCTAGACATCTATTTTATCAAGCATATTTGTACATATGTTGCCATCATTACCCTTGGTATCATCCCCTCTTTTTTCCCTCCTTCCCCACCCCCAATAAATTATAAATTATTTTTCATATCTTATACCAACTGCTGTCTCCATTCCTTTGCGGTTTCTGTTTGTCCCCTTAGAAGGGTGTATGTGGGTGGTTTATGTGTCGCGATCGGTTTCCCCTTCCCCCGCCTCCTCTCCCACCTTCCCCTGCCCCTTCTGGTATCTCCTGTTCCTGGATTCTGTGTCACTGTGTTTCTTATTCTATAAGTAATATGTTTATGATAATCAACTTGGAATTTACAGTAAAATATAAAGAATATTAAAAGAGCCTATAAGCTCAATGTCCAGAGAACCACTGTTATTATTTTAATGAATATGTAAGTTATTTTTAAAATTTGTATAATTTAAATAATTTTAATTATTTATCTTCTTTTTTACAAAAGATAAACCTCTACTTGAAAATGGAAAAGAAACCTAACAAGAAAGATGAACTGACACTAGTGAATAATGTTCTAAAACTGGCTACTAAACTACTAAAGGTCAGAGTACCATTAACTAGGGGGTACAGCGCTGCTCTGACATTGTATGTTAGAACCTACCTTGTATTTGGTTTTAATGACTATTCAGATTGTTCCCAAATTATATCTGAGCGCACTTCTGCAAATTAAAAGGTCATTTTCATAGTTTAGTTGTAAGCAAGTTTATCTTTTCCAAAAGGACTCATAATTTGTAACCTTTTTTGGGGTGGTGGTAGTGGATTCTTTGTAGAGGAGACTCGAGAAGGTTCATGGGCAATTTCAACTATCTTTTTATCCTATTTTTTCCCACGAACTTTTTAAAGCCCCCATGTATAAGGCCATGTGGCTAACTGATAAATCTTAATGAACCAGAGGCTCACGGTTTTTTATTTCTTGTTCTCTTTCTCTCCCAGGAGTTAGACAGTCCTTTTAGATTATACGGGCTCACAATGAACCCACTGCTTTATAACATTACCCAGGTGGTCATCCTTTCAGCTGTGTCTGGAGTTATCAGTGACTTGCTTGGATTTAATTTAAAGGTAAGAGCTTGTAAAGATTCTGTATGTCTTAGTACTCTGTTGCTTTTTTGGTCATATTTACCGTATATACTCGTGTATAAGCTGAGTTTTTCAGCACATTTTTAATGCGCTTTTTGGGTTAAATTAGGTGCCTCAGCTGATATTCAGGTCGGCTTATACTCGAGTATATAGTTTGCCCAAGCACTTTTGAGGTCTCGCATGCACAGTAATGGAGTCATTTTGGTAATTGTATACAGAATTAGTGAAAATAATTTCAAAGAAATGATCTTGGCTCATAATTTTTAAGAAACTTCTAATAGGTAAAAGTACTCATTACAAATAGAACTTATGTGTAGGAAAAGTATTTTTACTTATATAATGAATCAAATTTAAATGACAAGTAGAAAAGCCCTATTTCTTTTTTTTTTTTGACAAAAAGTTGTATAATTAGATAACAATAGTGAATGCATGATAATCATATTAAATAAGTACTATGTATTTATTGCCACGTTTTAATACAGGAGATCAAGAGAACGTGGTTATTTACTTCTTTATTTGTTGTTTAAGATGAGTTGTTAAGAGTGAAAAGTTAAAACTGAGAACCTATGCTATCCCCTGCCCTGGTGGTGCTGTGGGTGAGGGACTGCGCTGCCAAACTACAGGACAGCCATTCAGGCCTAACAGCTTTTACTGCAGGAGAGCAATGAGGGCATCTATTCCCATAAAAACTTACTGTTTCATAAGCCCTACACCAGGCAGCGTGAATCAGAATCAACTCAGGTGGCTGAAGTTTGCTTGTTTGGGGATGAAACTTATTTTTTAAAGTTTTATTTATTTATTTTAATAAATCATTTATTGGGGGGCTCTTACAGTTATAACAATCCATACATCAATTGTATCAAACACTTTAGTACATAGTATCAAACACTTTAGTACATATGTTGCCATCATCATTTCCAAAACATTTGAGCCCCTGGTGTCACCTCTTCTTTTTTCCCTTCCCTCCCCCACTCTCCCACCCTCTTAACCCCTTGATAATTTATAAATTATTTTAATTTTCATATCTTACACCATCCACTGTCTCCCTTCACCCACATTTGTGTTGTTTATCCCCCAGTGGGGGTGGGGATTATACATCAATCATTGCGATTGGTTCTCCCTTTCTCCCCCTCTCGCCCCATTTCCTCCTACCCTCATCGTATCACTACTCTTATTATTGGTCCTGAGGGGTTTATCTGTCCTGGATTGTGTGTGTCAGGAGCTCTTATCTGTACCAGTGTACATGCTCCGGTCTAGCCAGATTTGTAAGATAGAAATGGAGGCTAGGGAGGTGGGAGGAAGCATTACAGAAGTAAAGGAATGTTGTGTGTTTCGTCTGTGCTATTTCTTTGGGGACTGATTCCACTCTTTGGGGATCAAGTTTAAATAGGAAGTAGTAGTGTATGATACAATTCAGTAAGTTGGGATATTAAAACTGGCCCTAATGATCTTTTATATTCTATCTAGCTATGGAAGATTAAATCATAACGATTCAGAGGAAAGATGTAACTGCTCTTCCAGATCTGGAGTACTGCCTATGCTGCCTGGAAGCCGGCAGGAGTCTCAGCTGGGACACTGAAGTGTTGGCATCAGACTGTCTTGTGCAATTCTTCTATTTATTTTACATGTTCACTGTTTTTTACTTTCAGTCCTATACTTTGTTTTTAAGCATTGGTGTATACTTAGTTGTTGAAAGGGTGAAAAAACGATCTCCAGATACTTGAGAACCTGGTAATTGCTCTTAAATAATTGACAGATTGCAAAACCTGGGAGCAGAAGCCATTGCTAAGCACTGTTTCTCCATCAATGCCATGAACTTGCCTTACTTGGGTAAAATATCCTACTAACTTTGACATATTGCATTGGACTCAGCTAAGAAAATACCGCATTTTCTTCAGTAATCAAGATCCAGTCAGGGTTTTTCTTGAATTATTTTGGAACAATGCCAGGGTCTGCATTGATTAAGCTGCAGTTTAAGCACCCTTCAGTATTAATATATGGTGTTACATAACAGGTCAACAAGTGCTCTTTGATGATAAAACTCTTAGTAGAGCAATAATTGTAAATGGTTACCATACTGTAAGATTTTTTGATAAAAAATTGGTAATAATTCTATTTATTTGAAACACTGGGCTGTTTGCACAGCTCCAACTGTGCATGCTCAAAATGTGCACTTTTAAAAATTGTTCCTTTTAATGTAGATCTTTATATGGACTATATTGTAGTGTACTAGGGCATGATAACGTATCCCTTCGAGTGAGGTATAAGCTCCTTTCACAAGTGAAGTGCCTATTGATATCACTTAAGTACATTATGTGTACTCAAGTAAAATCATCTTCTCCCCATGGTACACTCCAGTGTATGCGATTCCTACCGCACTCAAATGAACAAGGGAAGAACCAGTCCACTCTTCTCTGACTGGCCTTTTTACGACTTTCCAAATTCTCAGAAAAGGCCATTTCAGCTTACAGATTATTTCCTCTAAATGTAATCTGGCGTATTGCCTCCTCAGCCCCCATCCTCACCCCAACCATTATATAAGGGCTATTTCAGATGTCTTTAACCTAGAAAATTCACCCCTCCAACAATTTGCCAAGTGTCTAAATGAGTACTTATCATGTTGGCATGTTAGGTAAATAGGGCAAATATGACAGTAACTTATATTGGGCCTTGGTTTTAAGTTGTTATATTTGTACAATCAAATATTTTAGGAATTACATGAATTATGACTTGTTTTTCAGTGTTTATTTTTATGCTAGGTATCTGATTTCTAAAAAAGCATTTATTTGAAACAGTTCAGAACCTTCTTGGTGCAAAGTGAATCATGTTACATATCCTCGTGCTTTTACCAAGTATTCGGGAATTGAAAACGACTCGTTGTCGGTGGTTTGTCTGTGTGGTGCGGTTCACAATGACACACGCTCATTTGCGGGTCAGGAACGAGTGAAGAAGAGAGCCACATCCTCGCCCTTGCTCTCACCATTCCTCTTGATCCGCCTCAAGTCGGCTGTGCTGTGTAGTGTATTTCCTTTCTGTAGAAAACAACAGAAAGCGTGTTGTTTTATTTGTTGGGGTTCTCATATGTTTGATAATGACCAAAGTGCATTCTGAGTCTTTTCAAGGAATGTATTTGCTGGAGCTTTAAGAACATACTTATTTTCTCATGTGAAAAATTAGCCTTTGTCTGATAAGTTTCTTCTTCTTCTCGTCTCCGTTAAGGTTGTTTTTAGGAATTATATTTTATAAACTTTTTTGAAATATAAGGTACATACCTATACAGAACTGAACATTTTGCACAGAATATACTGAATATATTTTGCGGGGAAAAAAAAAAGTACCGCATGAGTTCTGGTAGGAATAAAAAGTGAAACTGTTGTATCACACACATACTTAAAAAACAGCTTATTTCAGAATGGGAATATTTTTGAAATGTAACTGAGTATACTGATTTTAAAAAATGTTTTAGATGGAAATTCATTTTAAATTAAAGTTGGGAGTTGCTTCATGAAGTACAATATCTATACCTCTCAACCACGTAAACGTGTTGAATTGTCACTCATGGGGGCGAGCAGTGGGGTTCTAAAGAGAAAGTTTTTATCATTTTAAGCAGTGTCAGAGCATTAATAGTAGAACCGTTTTCAAAGCAAAAACAAAAAATCATTGCTGCCTTTAAGAGTATCATGAATGTAAGAAATTGTAACATACTACAAAATATAGAAAAGGCAGTTCAAAGATAGAATTATGGCAGATGTTGTGTTACTGTTGTCAGTTTGCCACTTGTTCTATTTGAAAGTTTGATCAGCAAGTTTAAAATAAAACATTCTGTGACTGACAGTGTTCAACTGGATGTGCGTTGTTGTTGTTTGCTTGTCTAAATTGTTCAGGTCATATAGTTTCTATGGTAGTTTGTGTTGGCTGTAGCATAAACTTTAATGATAAATGTTGGATTTGGGGAGAGTGGAAATAAACTTTGTATCGCTTCCCAACAGTTCAGATTTTGTTACAATTCTTTGAACATGAATGAACAATAAAACACACTCAGGAGTCTTTGATTATCAAACCGCTGTGACACTGTGAAAGTATGTTTGATTTAGGGTACAGAAAGCTCTTGGTGGCCTTGAAAATTAAAACTCAGAAGGATAGTGGTAATTTATATATATTCAAATGAATTTAGTATGAGCGATCATAGTCAATAAGATGGCTGAATATTCTATTATTTCTGTTATCAGATAGTTGCAAATCTTTAAATCATTTAAATTAACCAGGGACCATTAAACCCTGGGGACAATATGAGTTAGGTGTTGGGCTGCTTAACCCAAGATCAGGGGTTCAAATATACCAGTTGTGCTTCAAGAGAAAGATGAAGCTGTCTGCTTCCAGAACAATTTGCGGTCCTAGAAACCCTAAGGAGCCAGTTCCACTCTATCCTATAGGGTCGACAAGAGTCAGGATCACCTTGATGAAAGTGAGTTTGGCATTAATTCAAATGCGCTTTCCAACTTACTCTCAGCTTAAAGTGGACTCTTCTAATGAAGCTCCCTTTAGACTTCAGAATATGTCTGTATGATCGGCACTTTATTTGCTATTCTCATTAATGTTCTAAATGACACAGCTTTTGTTGGTCTGCATGAAAGGTACCACAAATGCTTAATCTATAGCCATGGTTCCCCACAGTACTTATCCCCTGAGGGAAAGCTGGTGTGTGTAGAAGGGGCTGTAGTATACTTTAAAAACAAAAAACCCAATTTCTCAGATGTTTGCCCCACCTGCTATCCCTCACACCTTGAGAATTATGTTTTAAAACCAAGGGATTTTATTCCATGTCAATTCCATGTGATCTTCCTTTCCCCAGCACCCAAAGCAGTGTCTGAACAAGAAGGGCCCAGGATGATGAATGAGCGGCGTCTTGGGAGATGGCAGCACTGCTTACCCCAACCTCATTCCACAGGCTTATGTGAGAAAAAATGGAAGGCCATGAAGCAGGTTCAGTAGTTCCCCACGATTGCATAACCTGTTAGTGATGACAAAAGCTCACCTTAATTCTTTTAGAAATATAGTCAATGTCTTTGGGTAAGCAATTGGTATCTATCGACTGATCGAAATAGGAATATTTGGGAAAGTAGGCAGAACAGATTGACACTGATTATTAATAGTGAACCAAACTAGAAAATCTTGTCCACAGGAGTAAATCAATGTATCTTGACATTTCCCTGTTTAACTCTTCTCAAGTGTGACCTTGTTTTGAGTTGAACTGTGTCCTCCAAAAAATCTTGACCCCATATCTGTAAGTATAGCCTAGTTTAAAGAAATATGGGCTTTCTTTGCAGGTGTTTTAAATTAATGAGGTTATATCGGAACATGATCTTGATCCCTTCTGAATTGTAGTTTATAAAAAGGGAAGACACCAGTTGACGATCCTTCTATAATCTCAGGAATGCCAAGAGATGCTTTCAGCTACCTGAAGCTGAAAGAGACAAGGAAAGATTGTCCCTTTAAAACCAACAGCAGAAGGTAAACAAGCGGCCATCTAGTTCAGAAGCAACAAAGCCCCCATGGAAGAAGCACACCAGCTTGCGTGATCACAAGGTGCCGAAGGGATCAGTTACCAGGCATCAGAGGACAAAAAAAATCCTATCATTGTGTGCTCACCTCCCCGATACGATCGCCGAAGACAAATGGGTGCATAAGCAAATGTGAAGAAAGTTGATGGTGCCCAGCTATCAAAAGATAGAGCTTCTGGAGTTTTAAAGGCTTGAAGGTAAACAAGCGGCCATCTAGCTCAGAAGCAACAAAGCCCACATGGAAGAAGCACACCAGCCTGTGCGATCATGAGATG